AACAGATGGAGAAGTAAAGAAATTTATTTCTTAATTTGGTTTCTTTGTTTTTTCATTTTTGTTCTTAATTGTAGGTTGAACAGAATTTACTTGATAAAGTTTGGCCACATTTACGTGTACTAGCTCGTTCATCGCCACAAGATAAATATATACTTGTAAGAGGTATTATGGCATCAAGAATCAATCCGGCACGTGAAATTGTTGCTGTTACTGCTAATGGGACAAATGATATTCCTTCTTTGAAAATAGCTGATGTCGGCTTTGCTATGGTTAGCTTTTCTTTCTATTTTTTTTCAAAATTCATACAGAAGAGAATTATATTTTAATACATGATATGATGAATAGCGTTCATTATTTATGTAACGATTTATATTTTGAGAGTAACTTAAATATAAAGATAAGTTAACATTATGAAATTTACTCAACGTCGAATTTAGATTGACGAGAAAAGTTTCACAGTTGATTAACCGCTTTTTAGTCGAGATTATGTAGATCCTAATAAGTTATAAATATCCTAAAAATAGTTCAAGCTCATAAATTATTCTTGCTATGATACTGTTTTTCTTAATGTAATAACGTAATTCTTAATAAGATATACTAGAAAAAGAAATTCGAATTTCAATTCGAAATTTTACGAAATGATAAGTTTTTACGAGAATAATCTATTGTGAAAATTTCAGTATTTTTTCTTGTTCCTATTCCAAGGCTCAAAGGTCACGAAAGCGTTAGAGAGACGTAAAGATGCTCTACTAGAAGTGGTCGAGTTCAAACTTTTTTGGACCTACACCGAGCGAGTCTAAATCTGATTGACGAGCTGTACTCCTTAATTGTTAAAAGATATTCATTATTACCAGTTAAACTTTTGAATTAAAAAAAATCTCTCTGAGACATTTTCTTATACTTGAACATTCGATTCTGTATCTTAACTAATAAGATTTACCAACTATTTTTATTATGCTAAAGTCTGATTATCAAGTTAATCTGTAATTTATTCAATAGGGCATTCAAGGTACTGATGTAGCAAAAGAAGCATCAGATATAATTCTAGTTGATGATAATTTGGTTTCAATTGTCAAAGCTGTTATGTGGAGTCGCAATTTTTATGATTCAATAGCAAAATCACTTCAATTTCAATTAACTGTTAGTATTGTTGTTGTTTTTTTTTGTTTTTATTGGAACATGTATTGTAAAAGAATGTCCATTACGTGATATACATATGTTATGGATTTATTTAACTATGAATATATTCGCATCATTAATATTTGTTTTTAACGTACCAACAGAAGATATATTAACACGTAAACCATATGGATGTACACGGCCATTAATATCACGAAGAATGATGAAAAATATTGTTGGTCATGCTATTTATCAATTAACTGTTATCTTTTTTATTTTATCTGCTGGTAAGAAAAAAAGAAACCACGGATACAGATGAATACTCATTTTTTTGTCTTTGCTTTTGACTATAAAAGGACCTACAATATTCAGTATTGGTGATGGGCGTCCAGTTGATAGTATATTTAAATCATCCGAACATTTTACAATAATATTTAATGTATTTATCTTAATGAATTTATTTAACGAAATAAATTATCAACAAATTCATGGTGAAAAGAATGTTTTCCATACACTATCTAAAAATTCAATCTTTTATGGTATATGGATTTTTACATTTGTTGCTCAAATTGCTCTTGTTCACTATGGTTCATTAGCATTTTCTTGTGTTGCATTAACATTTAAACAATGGATATGGTGTCTTCTTCTTGGTGCCTCAGTTCTTCCATGGAATCAAGTAACAATATTTAGTTTTGTTTTATTATATTTTATAACAAATTTTATTTGTTTTAGGTGGTTAATTTGATCCCAGTAGTCAATCTGTGTCGATATTGACATTATTTTATTCTAATCTTACTTTTAACTTTTCTCGTTGTCTTGCCCAGGACAATTATTTCGATAATCGGATCCGATCGGTTCTGGTCGGAATCCAATGAGAACCTAATTGGATTGTATGTGTTTTTTTTATAAAACCAACGAAAGCCTATCGGAATTCTGGGTGTACCTGTGCTTCGCTACTCATGAATGCTCACACTCAAACATTGGTATCCTCACCCACACTCACGCCCATAAATAAATTTTTGACTACCACTTTTAATTTCTTTAGTATCATTTCTTCCTATATTTCGGTATCACCATTCTATTATATTTTACTCTTTAGTCTCTACTCCAGATGAAAATGTGCTGATTCATAAATCATTCCATTAAAAAGGTGCGCTCATTGTCATTTATTCATTGTTTCTGTTACTTGAGGGTGTGGGTGTCTGAGTGGGTGGGTGAAAGAGGAATACACCCACACCTACACTCCACCCACATCCATACCCCACACCCACAAACCCACACTCTATACACACCCCACACCCACACACCATGACCACACCCCACATCCTTCTTCCAAGTAAGTGAAGAGCTGGAATGCGAAGGATTAATATTGATATTATCAGTTTTAGTCACATACGATTTTTGTTATTCTTCAACAACTTTGATAAAAAATAGCCTTTATCGAATCCCTTCTTTTTTCAATAATAAATTTCCTAATAGAATTTAGTGCGTTCTTCAATTAATCTATCATGTCTGTTAATCGATTCCACCGTATCATTCTGCCGTTTTCATTTTCAATCATTGCAATTTAATACAATAATCAACAACGACAAGACTACATGTTTCACGATGTTGACGAACTTCATTTTTCATTTGTTCGAGGAGTTTACTTGCTCTACTTATTTTTGACATCTACATCTATGATTTTGTCTCCAAGCACTAATCATAAATAGTCTTTGTCAATGATATCACGAAATATCGTATATGTGCAGTAATACAAAGTGAATGAATATCTTAAAAATATAATATGATAATAACTGTACAATATTTTTTAGAATCCATCGATCATTGACCTTTAATTCAAAAAAGAATGTGATAGATGAATCAACAGGAGAATAAATGGCAAGTTGACTGTACCATTTTAATTCGAAGCAAAATAATTTCAATATCTTTAGTTATCGTCAGTCAATCTTTGTGATTTTTATTCCATAATCTTTACTAAGAACTGCTCACTACTACACAAAATATCATAAAATTCTCTCCAAGATGTCGACATGAGTTCTCTAATTGCATTTCGAATAAAAAGAAGACCGAAGTATCTAGTACGTCTTGGTAAATAAATGAGGAAATTGCACTTACATCGAAATATGAAAAGATAGGAATTGAGAACGTTTTTTATAAATTATAAATTCCAAGAGATACCCATATCGAAGAGTAGATGCTAAATTCGTCTTTGAATATAAACAGAGTGTGAGTACAAGTATGTCTCTTTGCATTCTCAATACCCCCATGGAACCAAGCCGATGCCCACACGCACTTACACCCACATCCCATCCTCATCAATATTTACACACAACGGGCTACTGTAACTAACTCATCATTTTGGACAAATCAACAATTTTCAATGTTTAACAACAGTCTAGCGCATTGTTTTGTATTTCTATGAGACGATTTTCTTTTCAATTTTCTTTTCAATATCTAGTTATTGTATTTCTTTCAAAAATATGACGACAATAGGATTGTTCACTTCGCCCCTATTCTCACGTTGTATTAAGATTATTAAAATTGTAAATATTTTTTCTTATTTATATTATCTCCTACTGCGTAAATATTTCAGAGTAGAACAAAGAAAAAATGGGATTTTTAATGGGACTGAGTATCTTCATGTGGTTAGTAGCAAAGCGGTAGATTAGAAGAATATGATAGATAATTGAATGACAGTCTGTTGCTTTGACGACAATTTTAATCAATTTCACAAACATCATTTTGTTTAGAAGCTTCAACTATTTGTTGCCAAACAGTAGTATCACGCGGATTCATATAATCTTCTCCAAAAATTGGATTCCAAGAAATTTCGAGTCTTTTCAATGTTTGATTTGTCGCAAGAAAAGTGAGAATTGTTTGTAAGCTAGATATTGTTATGCTATTGTTTCCGATTGACAAGTCTGTTAATGTAGATGGAATTGAAGAAAGAAGACTTTTACAACCACGATCTCCAAGTAAAGTATAACGCAACCCTAATTCTTTTAAACTGCTTTCGGGCAAGTATTTGGCCAAACAGACAGCACCATCATCATCTATTTTAGAACAGCTCAAATTGAGTGTTGCCAGTTTCATATTATTCTGTATGAAGCGTCCAATATAATCCATGGTTTCATGATTAAGTTTGCTTACCAATAGAGTGCATCGCTGAAGTGTCTTGCTTGCGCAAAGGCCACTAAAAAGGTTTGCTTGTGCTTCCTCATTCATATAATTTGCTTCAGTTTCGAATTCAACAACTTTTATTGTAGATGATAAAATATCACGTAAACGACGATAGCCGATAGATGTAAGTCGAGTGCCGCTTGCCAATCTTATTGACCAATTTCTATCGGGGAACTTCTTCAATTCATGAAATAATTCAAGTATATGATCATCGCGTAAGTACCATAAATAGAGTTCACCATTTTCTGCATTTGATACATAATTTGTTGGTGACTCATTGATGTTCAAATAACAAATACAATGATTCTCATTAGAAGCTTCGAAAATTTTCTCCATTAAATCATGTGCATTCACTCCCACTGAACTATGACTGCTTATGCCATTTTCCAATAGAGAAATTCGTTTTAAAGTAGGATGAGTTTTTAAAAAAGCGAGTAGAAATGATAGACTTTTTGCAGTGATTAGATTATCTTCTACTTCTAATTTAGACAATGTTTTGGGTAACGAATTGAGTAGTACTTGAATACCAATATCACCAATGTCACTCCTGGGTAGTTGAAGACTTTGTAGAATAGTATTGGTCTTTAAAAAGTTAGCCAATATGATGGCATCTTCGTCAGTTACCATCGGATTGCTTTCATAATTCAAGTGGATGATGACATTATTGTTTTTGAGAAGATCTATTAGCTCGTCAACAACTTTAGAGTCTTTTGAGGTGATAGAAAGCCTTTTGATGCAACGATTTTCTTTCAACAATTGAAATATTTTAGTTTTGATTTTCGCATCACCGAAAGGACATCTAATTGTCAAACATTCCAATTGACACTGTTTGCCCAACAGAGTTATAAGATAATGCGAATAATGGTGACTAACGTCGTCTTCGAAAGACCAACAGAACTCACGAATAGTTGTATCAGGTTTACTTAATTGCGTAATCAGCAATGGCCAATCAATCTCATTTGCCTCCGACATTCATGCAGTAATAGATTTTTTGTAGCGGAACAATTTTGCTGCCCAACTACTATGTAACAGGATTCTAACTGTGGATAACGATGACGATTCTTGTGATTGCAAATATTGATTGGCAAGATTATCATCGAGAATCAATTCTTTGAGAGTTTTACCATTTGTTTCCAGATATGAACGGATGATAGGAATACTATTTTCGTTGATGTTGTTGTCCCACAAATCAAGATGTACCAAAGTATCCGGCAAAGATTGTAAAACAACTTCCAATAGTTTATTATCAATTTTCCTAATACAGAGACGTTGAAGAGTGGTTGTTTTCAGAGCGCGTGCCAATTCGATGCCGCTTTCCAAATTCATTGGCTCCTGCGCATGCTCTCTAAAAAATATAATGATACAGAGCTCATTTTATAGGTATGCACTTTCATGTATCAAGAAATTCACTAACCTTTCGTCAGGATTAATACAATAGGTATTGCTGATATCAAGAGACAACAATTTTTTATTATTCATCAATATTTGTGCAAATGCACGTGCTGTTTCTAAATCAAATTCATATGCAGTTATACTTAAGTGTTGTATTGAGTGACTATCTTTGAGTGCTTCCAATAGGATATCGACTTTATTGTCGCGTGCAATAGAATCCATAGAAAATCCCAACTCCAATAATTTTGGATGAGCTCCAATAGCTTTTACCAGCTCAATGAAACGAGGTTCGACGGCTTCTTGTGTGTTACCACTATTTCGATCCCAACTTAATCCTAATTCTTGCCATGATTGCTCTCTCTTATTGACTTCTTCAATCAAAATACACCAATCGAAATCATCCATTGTTTTAATCATCAAGGACATCCTGGAATCATTGTCATAAAACAGCATGATATCTCGTTTCATTAGCTTAATATAAAAAGATAAAATCTTATGCTATTTGGAAAGCGTATACTCAAACGCATTTCGACTATAACATCACTACTGTAATAATGAAAATGCTCATCTCCTCTGTTGGTCATTTATAAATCTAAGATCCAAAAATAAACATTTCTAGAAAAAGGACGTACATTCATACCACTTATTAATCGCTATTATGACATGTCAGATTATTAAAATTCTTTCGACGATATCCCAGACATACAAGGCGAGCAAAACCATTATCTCATTGAATTCTTATTATGCAGTTGGATAGAGACCTCTGAGCAGATTATGGCTTTCAGCTGTAAGATGTATCTCATCAAGTTTTAGTTGTAAAATCTTCTATATCGCTGAAAACTCTTCTAACGAATTGATTTGAGGCCAACATTAAAATGTGAATAGAACTGTGTAGATTAGACTAATATTTCCCTCTTTCGATCTTCTATAATAGGACCAACGAAGTTAATTGAACAACACAGTAACATATTATTCTTTTAAAAACTGTAAAATGTTTCTCTTTAAAACGAAAAGTATACCTCTCTGCAACGAAGCCATCTTTCATGTTCATCCTTTGTGTAGCATGCCTTCAAATGAACTTCTTGTTTGTCAGAGTCCGTTTCAAGTACATGAGAAGGTGGAAATAAATTGTTGACAGTATCATCTTGATTAATAAATTTAAAAGACATTTTCTGAAACGCGGTCTGAAAAAAAAGTACTGATGTATATAGAGTAGAATAATGATCAGAAACGGGGTCAATGCTCGCGTTCCTTCTTCTTGCAATTTCGATCGCGTGATAGACATAGCATACATCAATTTTCTTTCTCTTTCATTCGACAAGTTGACGACTGCGTTTGAAAACTGTAAAAAAACGTGATGAATGCCCGCTTTCCCTAACACTTTCCCCATAAAAAACTACAAGACCTGTCACTCTTATGTGTTATCAAGGATAGGGATGGAGTTAGAACTGACTACAAAGCATGCATTACTTCAATAGAGATATATCCTATATTAGATCGAGTGACTAATATTCGCTTAATTGGTGGTAGCATTAGCTAAGTTGTTTTCATATTTTAATCTGGAAGGGATTACATTAAATACCTTTTCAATGGTTTGTGAAAATTGGCAACGAATACGCAATATCTCCACGAAAAAAAAATTACTGAAATCTTTGTTTAAATGTGTTCTATTCAATGGATAACTCAACAAGTTTATTCGGAGCGCTTCATACAAAGTGTGTTTTACTGAACCAAAACGGGCTTTTTGTGTACTCAAAAAGTGAGTACACTCTAGAATCGGTCAGTATGTCCGGCCGTCCGGCCGGCCGGCCGTTTACACGATAACTTTCGAAAGGAGAGTCCGATCAGGATGAAATTTTCTACAC